CCTGTTTGTCATCATTTATTAAGAATTTCTGCCCAACTTACAATCATATGAAATCATCTCTTTTGTTCTTTTCTTTCTGACTCCTTACTGTACAAAGACCCAAATGAAGACACTAATCATTAATGCATTAATAGCCATTGTTCCCACCAATGTCCACATTATAAATTAATAATCTATGTAGTATTTTCTGTACCTCGGCTCATTTTATCATTACAGCCATTCAAGGTGACTGTTATTGGCCCCACTTGCTGATATGAACCAAAACAATACTTCAGAGAGGCTGTATTAACTTGCCTGACGTGGCTACAAATACGAAATGCTGGATCCAAATATGAACTCTGTATTCCATTTTCTCAGTTAATGATGGACACCAAAGTTAGTGCTCCTCTGGGTGGCATGGGGCATTATAATCCACTGGAGTATATTTCGACCGGTTTGGCCAAGTCCCTTTGGTTTAGAATGGTCAGGCTGACCTAACACATAGGATCAAAATGCTAAAAATTCAGGGCATGACTCAGAGTGGAATCTAGAAATGTCAGTGAACCCAACCACTAAGAGAGTTGAGCAGCCTCAATGGGATTTGAGTTAATTTTTTCTATTGTGAGAACCAAATTCTTAGTTCACAGAGCAGTAACAGATGACAGGACAGAATACAATCTAGGCACTTAAATAGATTGTCCCATTTCACCACCAAAAAATGTTAGAGTAAATTTGTAGACTTTGCTACTCTCCCTCAGACCCACACAACTAAATATCTGATTTAGGACAGAGTCCCAGGAGGACAAAATGACACCGCAGCAATCATTGTATTTAGGAAATAGGAGGACGTGAGAGGCAGACCCAGAGGCCACTTGTGTCTGTTTCTAATGGCCAAATCCACCACAGCTGGGTTTGTTGCTGTTCTTGTCGTCGCAGGGCACACGTGTTACCACTAAGCTCCATCACAGCCCATGACCAGGATTTTGCCTCTTGAGCAATAAGGTCCCAACACTTCTGGCCTTTGAATGACACAAGGACAGGAAGTATCTCCATCACTTCATACCATGGCACCTGAAAAATGGCGGCCACGTCATAGCTCTCAGACTGACTGGAGGATGTCGTAGATAGGAATGAAGATGTCACAGTGCCTGAAAAGTCTGAGGACAGCAAACTGTTTTACAACCAAATAGGCCTGGGGTGGGGGTATAGTCAGGCTGTGGTGGAGGCAGAGACCACCCACTGCCCTGTGCTCCTACCTCCTTTTTGCTGAGCCCACCACCCAGCCCCGCACTGAGCCCATTGAAAGCTGCTTCCATATTGCCTCAGGAATCCCTGATGCGTTTTATCCAGTTTGGTTAGGAGAAGCCTTTTAGTTACTCTAAAACTAGTCTTGGTGTCATTTTTGAGTGCCTATTCAAGAGCACCATTTCCCTCCCCCTTGCTAGGTGACAGCCTTCCAGATCGAGGCTTTCCTAGGGACAAGTGACCTCTTCTTGGCCTTGGTGCATTTGTCTGCTGTATTTGTTCACACATGTCTTACAGTATTTTTTTTTCTGTTAATTTCCTGAAAGCCACACGAAAGAAATTCTTACTTTTATGTATGACTACAGGGAAAGGTCTTGTACCTTAGCGGTTGTACAAATATGAGTATCAGAGGCAAAAAAAAAAAAAAAAAAGAACACTGCCTAATAAAGAAGATAAGTCTTAGCTTGACATGGTGACACAAGGACGCCTATAATCCCAGTACTCAGAAGGCTGAGGCAGGAGGATTATTGCGAGTTCGAGACCAGCCTGGGCCACAAAGTGAGCTCAAGGCCAGCCTGAACTGCATAGCAAGACCCTGTCTCAAAAAGACACACACACTACACACACAAAATATATCTCAACTTATAAATCACAACATAGTTCAAAATATGTTACCAGAATAAGACTCCTACCCTATACAACACTTCCAGAATTTTCCTCTGTTTCCATATTATCTGGTAACTTATAGACCAGTGAGAGACAGAAATCATATGATGTTTATACATGTTCTACTGAACCAAGATGCTCTGCATATTTGATTTCTTTTAGAGAAAGGATCATATTATTCCAGGTTGTTTTTTAAATATCAGGAATATTCAAATCTTACAGTTACCACTCATATGCAATTCATGGTTCCTTGAATGGTGCCCTGAACTTGGCATCACTTGGAAAGACATTTTGGGAAATGGAGAGACAACCAACAAGCAGAATCTTCTCCTCTAGTGGGAGAAGCCAAAAGGACTAAAGTATCTAAAACCACAGAGGGGTAGTTGTTCACCAATATGAAGCAAGAAGAGGGAAAAATGGAAGAAATATTGCCTTGAGGGAGAGTGGGCATTGTCATAAACTCTGCCTTCAACCTGCTGCCATCACCAAATTTAGTAGTCTTTCCACAACATTCTAAAAAGCCATAAAAGATTTTAAGTTTCAAGGAACCCAAATCACACTGCTGTAAACAGAAATCATTGTCTCTAAAGATCTTACATCAGACAAGTGGAAAATTGCATTTCCTCTACACTAGATGAAGACCGTGTATACTTTGAGAACTTTATCACACACTGATTTCCAGATTTTATAAGACTTAATTTTCTTCCTTGTTAACTTTTTTAATAGAAATTTGTAAACATTCCCTAAAATAAAGTACAAGATACCAATTACTCAGCTTCAATAACTATCAATATTTTGCCATATTTGTTTCATCTACCACCATCCTTTTTTATTTCGGATATTTTAAAGCAAATTCAAGTTTTCAAGCCACTTTACCACTAAATACTTCATTAAGCATCTCAAACTAAGGGAATATTTTATTATAAAACATATAATGCCATTAATATACCTAACAAAATTAATCCTCCGATACCTAATACTTCATGAAAGTCCCCCAATTATCTAAAATAATCTTTTTGCCATAGGTTTATTTGAAACATTGTAGTATTACTATGTCTGTCTGTTTATATCTCTTTTGTACTAGAATTGCTAAAACATTCCCGTCCTGCTTCCCATTTTCTTGCCATTTTATCAAATACTGTGTCTGTTAACCTTGAAGAACTCTTCATATCCTGAACTTAGTTGCAAAGTTGTTTCTAAGGTTTTGAATAACTTGCCCCCTAAGAATTGCAGGGGTGCACCCTTGATCTCATGGTCCCTGCACTCTGCCTCGCTTATGAAACTGGACAGTGTGTCCTCTAAGTGTCTACACTGCTCTCCTTTCCCTCGGGTAGAGGAATGAAATGCAATTTAAAGGTCTAACAGATAGCCTCTCTGCAGGTCTCTAACAGGTTTCAAAGGAGAGCAGGAGGATCTAGACAGTGCCCCCATGGCTCAGGAAAGGCAAAGAGAAGCCCAGGGCCGTGGAGGCGCTCTGCTAAGAAAAAAATCACAGTAGAGCATTTAAGGGGGGAAAATACAGCGCTTGTGTTCCAGGTAGGAAGCACCCATCACAGTCAATATATCCTTAGAACTTCTTTCGGCTTAAATCTGGTCTTAGTGCTTCTCACTGGGAAGGCTCAAAGCAAGAGGCAGACCGGGATGCTCAAAGGCTTTGGCTTCTGTCTCTCCAGCCCCATTACTTTGTATTGACAGACTCAGAGTTCAGGATCTGCAGATCAGAAACAAGAAAAGGATGATGTTTGTTCAGTGGCTTGTTCCAAGCAGCTCAGAGCATGTGGCAGGCAGCATCTTGCTGGCAGGTACAGCCAGAGCTCCCCGGAGGGAGAGACTGCGGCAGCCAAAGGACCATCTACCCTACTCAGCTCCGCAGCGCCTCCTATTGGCTAGATTGTGCATCCTATTTAAAGCAGCTCTTGGAACCCTTACCACTCTGGGCTACTTTGGAAAAACCAGTTTCCTGCCGCAACTTGGAAGAATCCAAACAGGACTTGCTGGTATAGTTAAAAATAAAAACCTAAGAGAAGCCTATAACCAAAATGCATGTGCTTCCGTTTAGATAAGCAAACTCTGGCTATGCCCACTTTGTGGTAGCTGAGTCCTCAGCCTTGGGGGATTATTCCATATAATCCTCTGCCTACAGAGGTTTCCATCCCGAGCATAGTTGTGCTCGTCTAGCCCTTCCCGATCTGTTTTTTCATTACTTACAGGTGTATTACAATTTACATTATTAATTGGTCCTTTATAATTACCTTGAGAGTGTCAAGCCATAGACAAATAATAAATTGTTTGGGACAGTTACACATTAGGATCTTTAAAAGTCTAGGATTTTCACGAATACTGTTCCCACACAGCTAATAGATTGCCATGGTATTTCCTAATTTCCAGGCTGGACAGAACCAGGAAGGAGACTATAGTCAGGAATCAGAATAAAATTCTGACTTCACTATGAATTTTCATGATAGTTTCATGCAAGCTACTCCACTTTTTTTTGATCTGTGTGTCTAGAATTACCAGTTGAAAGCTGTAGGAGCCTCGCCCCATGCCCCTGCTATTTGGAACTGCAGGAAAGAAGATGGGTTTCAGTTGTTATAATAACTATGGCAGAGGTGTTGCTGATGTGAATGGCAGGATCCAGAAAGCTTTAGTCTGTACAGAAAAGTTTCATGAAAACGTTCCTGCTGTCTGAATTTCCAGTGGTACTCTGGGTGATCAGCGACACTGGGAAGTGATCTTTAATGTCTTCGTAGCTTGACAATTACAGACATTGGTTGGTGTCTGCAAACCCAGTCACTCAGGGATTAAGTTCCAAGTTTGAATTGTATGTCTCTCATGTGATGGGCATGGTGAGGACAGTGTAAAGCCAAAGTTGAGCAGAACTGGAGGTAAGTGCAGGGTTCCATTTGTAAGTTTTTCAGTGTACTTGGAGGTTGTGTGGATATTGTCTGGGAAAGGTTTGCTTTTATATGCCATATGGAAATTAATACAGATGCTCCGTAACTTATTATGACTCAACTTACAAGGTACAATTTTATAACTTCACAATGGCCTACATGTGACATGGATTCAATACATGCAAAACTTGAAATTGTGAACTTTGTCTTTCGCAGGCTAGCTTCATGCCCTAACATCCTCCCTCGTGCAATGCTGGGTCGGAACAGCAAGCTACGCAGTCAGAAGGACCAACCACTACTCACAATGCTCTCTGCTGCTCAGCTACTCTGTTTCGGAGGTGAGGAGTAGTAAAATGCATATTCAACTTAAGACCTTTGCAACTGAGGATTGCTTTCTTGGGATATGACCTCATCATAAATCAAGGAGCATCAGTGTTTGCACCACTATGTTTATGTGAACATGTTCACCAGTCCAAGATAGACTCTGACCCAAACGAGGAGGTCCTAACTAGAAATGGAAACCAACTAATCACCGTCATGAATTCTCAGAAGTAACTGACAAGAGCCAACCAGTGAAGACAAGTGAGATAAGTTCAAGGTTGGTAAACTGGGCCATCTCCAAATCTGAACTTGGGGTGGCCTCTGAATGTGACATGGTATTATATACAACGCTGTAGTCCTTTCTTTTGTAAATTATTTTCACTATGCTCTAAATAGATGATGATTACTCTCTGTAAATCTTTTCTACAGATTTGTCCCTATAAGCTCTAGAGAATCTTTTTTAGAAATCCTAGTTGACATTTTAATGTTCTCAGGGGTTCAGCCTCAAATAATATACCTCACACTGAAGGACAAAAAATTTAAGTCTTAAAGACGACTTTTCCAATATATATGTCTGGAAGCCTTTGTAGTAAATGCACTAAAAACAATTCTCCTTGGTCTAGGAATGTAGCTGAGTGGCACAGCACTTGCTTAGCATGCATGAGGCTCTGGCTTCAATCCCCAGTGTGCACGTGTGCATACACACACACACACACACACACACACACACACACACACAGATTCTCCTAAAAATAACACACAGAGCATGAAGTTGTCTTAGCCAAATGCACCTACTCATTTGGACCCTCTGAGGCAAGTTGGAACAGAATTAATACTTCTCATGATTTAAAAAGTCTTTGTCTTCAGTTGAAAACAATGACAAATGCTAGATGACTAACATTGTGACAACCAGCCAAGTCTTATTTCTGGTACAATTACACAGAGTAAAACACCATTCACAGCAAATCTTCCACAGTTTTATGGAATAAAAATCTTCTTGCCTTGGCTCCACACCATGATAGCTTGTTGTTCCATTTTCAGTGTTCACATGTGTTTATTTTCCCCTTGCTATCTATAAGTTTATTCCAAGTGGGAACCTTGGTGGGAGATTCTAGAGAGTAGGCTGACCATCAAATAAAAAGGCCTGGAACACCCACCACCATCTCTTCCAGATATGCTTGCCAAAGAGGCTAAGGGGGCCACCTAGACTAGGAGATCCCAGCTGGTTTGTTTTGGTATTGGGCTATAGTAAGTCCCAGAAAACAAAGAAATGTCAGGGATAAAACATAATATGAATATCGGTGACCTGGATCCCTAATATTAACACTACCATTTCTTAATGTATCACTCTAGACCTTAAATCCTCTGAGCTCTAATTTTTTTTTACCTGTCACAGCAAGTTGTACGGAAGGGGAAATCAAATCATATGTGGAGAGAAGCACTCTGACAACTGCCATCTACAGATAACTGTTCATTGTTGAGATGGGAATTGATAGACTAGGACACTGGAACCAGGACCACCTTGAGCCTGAATTGCTCTGGATTTGAAAATCCTCGAATTGGCACTCTGCTCCCCCAACACCCTAGTCCTCCTGGCTGCTGGTGACTGCAGCCAGCATGGATCTAAAATTGGACTCCCTTCTTTACCTACTAATGTGAACAGTGACATGTCTTGAATTGGACACTGCCCCAAAGTTGTAGCACCTGAAAAAAAAAACATGTTTGAAATCACAGAGAAGTTTCTTTTGTTCTCCTTTTGGTTTTAGGTTTTATTTTATTTTTGCTTGTTAGTTTTTTGTTGTTGTTAGTTTTGCTGTTTTGTGTGGATGTGTGTGTTGTTTTTAGTTTTTCATTTAGTTTTTGTTCTTTTCTTCTCCTTTCTTTCTTTCTTCCTGCTTTCCTGGGACTTGAGGAATCTCTTTTTGTCCCTCTTTGTTGCTTACCTTTTTCTTCTTTTTTGTCTTTATTTTTCCTCTTCTCCCTTTAATTCTCTTATATTTTTACTCTCCATATAACTTCTTCTTCCCTCTTTTTAAAAATGTATTTCTTACAATTTTTTCTCTTATCTTTACCTAAGTCTAAAAATATCCTTCTACTCCCCATTAAGATCCTCGGTACCACTTTTCTCTCCTCTTTTCCTCTTGCATGTCTCAGTTCCCAAACTCTATATCTTTAATAACATAACCATAAAGCTTTTTAGTATCTTTTAATATTAGTTTACTTTGTAAAATTGCTATTGAATTGTTTTCTATTCCTTGCACTTAATACTTATTAACTTTAAATAGATACCTAAGTTGTTATACCTTATTTGCAGATTTTGTCTCTAGCATTAAGGGTGATACATAATTGGTTTTTATAGTATGTGAATATCTAATTTGCCTTACCTGACACTTTTGTAGCTGACCCACTTCCTATTTAGAAGATCACATCACTGTTGCTATCTCTCTATAAGCCAACACTCAGATTACCTTTGTGACAGTAAGAATACTAAAGTATATAAAGTATATTCCCTTTGTTGTTGGGCTAACTACACAGCATTGTTCCCTCCCACTTAAAGGAAATAATAACCAAAAAGATTCAGGATCTGTCAGAAGACATGAACAAAAAGATAGATGAACAAAAACAAACAAATAAACAAGAAAAGATACAGCTATTTCTGGGGAACTGGCAGAGTAGTGAGCGGCGGAAAAGGATCCTCTCTAAGATGTGAGGTTCAGACCCTGGAATACAGCAAGACGAGGAAGACCAGGAGGGAAGTGGACCGGGATCCAGAAAGGATCCGAAGCAAAGAGAGAGACTGCAACAAAGAAGGAAGCAGCTAGTGGTGCTTTCTCCTCGAGCCCAGACTTTCTGAGTGGAAGTCGTAGCTCTAACCTGCACATGCATGGGGACCACTGGCAACTCTGGAGGCCTCCACAGAGAGATGCACGGTGAAATGGAGCAGACTGCACTGACTGTCAAGTTACTAGGGTTCAAATGTCCCCCAGGTGAGGGTGATTTGCTGGTAACCATCTTGGAGAGAGGCCAACCGAGCTCTGAAGTCTGAGCAGCTGCAGGCTGGCCCCATTTAGCAGCTTCCAGTGTGAGAGTGAGGCAGCAGGAAATAAGAAGCCAAATTCAACTTGGCAAGGAGCCGAGTTCAAGCAGGAAGGAAGGAGGTACACAGAGTGTTACAGACAGAACAAATCACGCTCTAGACTCACGTCAGAACCTGAGACAGCCTGAATTTGCTGGACGAAAGGTGCAGGCTTTCTGAGATTATATACTCCCCACCTTAAACCTTTGGCTGGGTTGCTGGGATTAATCAACGTGGATCTGGATGTCTGCCCATGCAGTCTACAATGGCAGTGGAACACGCCTCAAAGTGGACTCTTTCTTTATTTTCTTTTTCTTTTCTTTCCTTTTTTTTGTTGTGCTTTGGTTTGGTTTGGCGTTTCTTGATTGTTTGCTCTTGTTTTTATATGAGAGTGAACATGGTTTCTAGTTCTTTTGTTGCTGTTCTGTTTTGTTCTTGATTTTATTTCTTCCTTTTTCCTTTCCCTCCTGTCTTCACCAATTTTCCAAACTTTGTGTAATTTTTGTGTATTCTTTAGCCTTGCTTCTATTCTGTTTCTCTATTTTCCCCCAAACCTTCTTAAGTTTTTCTCTCTTGTGGGTAAAATTGCCATATTGAAGGGGTTTTTACTGTATACAATTTTCTGGCTTGTTTTGGATTTTGTTATATAACCACAACTGTAGTCCATATGGTTAAAGGTGGCAAATTAATAGTTAACTCTGTCATTTTCTGGGCTGTTTCAGGTTACTGTTATTGATTTTTGTACTATTTTAACCAAGCTAACATAATTTTTCTAATCAGTTATTCTTTCTGATATACCAAGAGACTGCCTAAGAGTCATTAACAATACTATAGGCCAGTGCCAAAAAACTGGGGGCTGGGTCAACTAGGCAGCAACTTCTCAACCTCAATAAATTGATTAGGGAGAATTTTGCTACAGACTCAAAACCCAAAAGCCAGCTACACCTGGAAGACATCTCTGAGACACAGTCATTTCTCAGGATTTCTAAATGCTAGTAATAAAATTATTCACCAGAAGCAATTTACAAACATCAACCCAGGAGCTAAACTGAAAAAGAAAAAATAGAAAATGAGAAGATACTTAAGATGAACTCCAGACTTCCAGCTTACCAAAGACAGACTCAGAGGGCAATGAGGTAATTTGAAAGCTGTCCACCTGGATTCTCTGAAGTGCTAACAGTAGAAATAATAAAGCAGATGAATGAGGCTCTAGAAAAAAATCAAATCAGAAAGGTTGTCAGATAACTACAGAGAGTGTGACCATATTGAAAGACCTGTTTTGTGGCCCTAAAAAAGATACATATAAAGAGGTGGAGCAAAGATGGTAGATAGATAACAGCTGGCTACAGAAGCTCCCTGAGATAGTCAACTTAGAATCAACATAGTACAGTGTGGGGAGCCCCTAACAGAGGGAAATGAATTCTCTCCTCCCAAGAAGAAACTAAGGTGAGAAGAACCAATCAAACATACAGTCCTGGTGCTATTACTGGAACAGCTAAAGGTTCAGTGCTCCCGCCACAGCAGGCGACTTGCTGAGCCATCCAAGGTCCCACCACTTCAACTCACTGGAGGCGCAGTCACACTGAGGTCAGGGGTCAGCCAGCCAAACGGAGAGATGAGCTGGCGGGGAGCCTGCATTGACCTGTGGTGAGTGACTGGAGTGGAGCCATTTCCCGGAAAGAGAGGCTCCGGCGGCCAACATTCTGGGCACGGGCAGGACTGGCAAGCACAAGGGGCAGCAGTGACTTCAGTCAGTTGTTCCCTTCCTGAACAGGATTGGTGGAGTGAGCTAGGCCTGGGTCACCTGACCTGGCTGAGACCCAATAGGTTATCCAAAATCAATTCCCTATGCAGCAGCACACACTAACGCAGTGAAGCCTCAGAAGTTTGACTGATCCAGAGGGGAGGTGGTGCATAGTAATATAGTGCAGGTCTCAACAGCTTGACTGATCTGAAGGGGAGGGACCAGCATACGTTGCCCCTGTCTGCAACTCACTAGCACACTGCAGTGGTGCTTCAGAAGAATTGTAACTGACAAAGAAAGAAACTGGGGCCTTTTGGAAGAAACAAAAAAGATGGGAAGAGGAAGCAACAACAAAGAGTCCCCAGGTCCCAACCCTGAAAACACTGACCCAGGACAGGAAAATACAAAGGAGAATGAAAACAGCAAACATGCAATATCAGACACGGCACCAGTGGACATAAAGAGATATCTTGGGACCTCATAGGCAAGTTCAAAAGTGAAATATTTAGCCAAGTAAAGCAAGATATAAGAAGATTAATAAAAGAGATGCTAAGCACTCCTCAAGCAGATACAGACAGAAGAAGAGAGGAATTCACACAAAGTAGAGAACCATTTGATGAAGAATATAAAGAAAATATAGAATACATGAAGCAGATTCAAAGAGATTACCAGGAAATTAAAAACTCTATGGAAAAAAAGACTCTATGGAAAGATGGCAAATCTGCTTGAAAAAAACTAAGGATAGATTATCCAAACTGGAAGACCATTTTGCAATGTGGGATTATGAAAGGAAAAACTTTTTAAAAATAACAAGGAAACAAGCAGTAACAATACAAAGGCTAGAAGATGACAAGAGGATCTATAACTTGAGAATAAGAATGTGAATGAAGAAGCAGGGGTACAAACAAAGGAACTACAAAGGCTTTTCACAGCAATAATTAAGGAAAACTTCCCAAACATAGTAAAAGGAAATGATATTCTGATGTATGAGACATATACAACTTCAGTCACCTACAACCAAAACAGAGCCATACCCAGGCATATAATAATCAAGATCCCAGAAATTCAATATAAGAACAGAATATTAAAAGCTGTTAGAGACAAGAAACAGATAACCTATAAAGAAAGGCCCATCAGAATAACGGCAGACTTCCTGACACAAACCATCAGGTCAAGAAGAGCCTGGAGTGAAATATTCCAAGCCCTGAAAGAAAATAACCTCCAACCCAGATTGATATACCCTGATAAACTGTCTCTAGAAATTAATGGAGAAACAAGATGCTTCCAAGACAAAGAGGAACTTGGGAAATTCGCAACCACCAATCCAGCTCTACAGAGAATACTGCAGGGCATTCTAGAGAGAGAGAAAAGTACTAGGATTCCAGGAAGAGTGGCAGAGAGGCCTTAATGAATGGAGCAGAAAACAGCATGAAGAAGATAAGCAGACAACTGATGGCAAAAAAAGAGCATAACAGAAATGAGGCAGAGAAGGTTGGTTATAATATCTAATACAGATGGCCTTGATACATTAAATTTAAAAAAAAGAACTGTACATGGAGTACATCAGGAGGCAGGGTCCACCGAGATGCTAGTTATAGGAAATATAATTAACATGAAAAAGAGTACATAGACTGAAAATCAAATATGAGAAAACAATGCTCTATGTGACAGAGAACCAGAGTAATAGGGGCAACTAGACCAATATTTGTGGATAGGTTGGAAAGACAGGCTTTAATAGGTAAAAGAATATAATTAGAGAGAAAGTCCAGGAGAGAGAAGGTTCAGAAACACTTAGGTAAATAGCAAGTTGCCCCCCTCAATTTAAAACCAAGGGTCTTGGTCAGACCCCAAAATGCACAGTGTACCCTGGGGAAGTGAAAGGGGAGGGAGAGTCTTTAAAAAAGATGGCAGAGAATGTATCAGGATTTAAAAACCACATTACTTGTACCACTCTGCTTAGATAGATTTTATTCCTTTTTTTGATAGATTTTATTCTGTCCCAGTTGTCTACTTGCATTAGATTTGAGGGCACAGACAGCTATCCTCAAAACATCAGGATATAGCACAGTAATCACCTTTAATTTCTTATTAACTTAATCTGGAGCCCTGTATGACTTATACTGTTTTATCATGACTAATCTTAGTTAAATCTGGTTTGTTTGTAAACCAAGTAAAATCTGGTTGCTGTTTTGTATCAACAGATTTTATTCAAAACTGATATGATTGATAGTATCAAGTCTGAGAGTATAGGCAACTACACTGAAGATGACAAGACTCACTACGATACACATTCTGGTTTGATAACTGCCTGCTTTTGAAGTTTTATACTATATACAAAGTTGTTTTTATTAATACTGTATGTACTGATATATTCAATTATATATAATTGATATAGTCTGATGATATAGCCAATTCTATTGAAGATAACAAGAGACAACACAGGAACTATGGTAGAACTCTTTGTACAATGGCCTTATATGTCTATTTCATGTGTTTATAAGAATGTGTTTTGCTTTGTCTTGCTTTGTTTTGTTTCTCCCTCTAAAACAGAAAGGATAGAAATACATGTTAAGACTCATGCATGTGTAGAACCTATGAACAGTTTATGAGAACTGATTTTATGACACATGATGAAATGAACAGATACTTCAAAGAAAAAGGGACACTAAAGTACCCAGTGTTGATCCTGGAGGGTCATAATGTGAAACCCAGCAATATTACTATTCTTTGTTCAGAGTGATATTAGCCTGCTTGGGTTTGTTCAATCTCAACATAATTGAAGATATGGATAACTGCTTGTATGTTTAAGTGTATAAGATTGATAACCATATTTCTAAGTTTTTGTTGGATAGTTGAACAGAACTCATTGCAGTCTCACTGTTTGAATCCCACTTTATATGCTCCACTTTAGTATCTTGAATAACTATTTGTAGGAAGACAATCTGTAATTATCAACTAGTGATTTCTTACTCTTTATTTTTTTCTTTGAAAGTATATATTATTTCTACCCATTTTCTGTTTTGTTTAACCTTTCTTTAAATAAAAATTTTTTTAAAAAGACACTACAGTACCCAGTGCTGATCCCAGAGTGTCATGATGTGCAATCCAGCAATACTATTATTCTTTGTTTAGAATGACTTTAGCCTGCTTTAGTTTATTTAATCCCAACATAAATGAAGATTTGGATAACTGCATGTATGTTTAAGTGTATAGGATTGACGACCATGTTACTAAATTTTTGTTGGACAGTTGAACAGAACTGTTTGCAGTCTCACTGTTTGAATTCCCACTTTATATGTTCCACTTTTGTATCTTGAACAACTATTTGTAAAAGGACAGTATGTAAACATTAACTAGTGATCTCTTACTGTTTATTTTTTTCTCTGAATGTATGTATTATTTCTGCCCATTTTCTGTTTTGTTTAATCTCTGTTTAAATAAAAAATTTTAAAAAGAGACAGATAAAAAAATAGAAGAGATAAAATGGGGGATATTATGAACCCCCCCCAATAGGAAAAAAATAGAATCCATGAAACAGATTATAAATTCCTTTGAAAGTGTACAAAGCAGAATGAGCCAATGTAAGGACAAAATATCAAATATAGATGACAGGATTGTGGTCAGTAATTGTGAAAATGAAGATTTCTTATAAATAGCAAATGATAACAAAAAATTGTTCCAAAGACTGCTAGATTATGCAAAGAATAATAACATAAGTTTTGGAGGTTTTTTGGCACTGGGAATTGAACTCACGATCTTATGCTTGCCAGGGCAGGTTCTTACACCACTAAGCTTAACCCCGAGCCCTAATAACATAAGATTGATTAGTCAATGAAAAAGGAGACAGGGTAAATGACATTAAAAAATCTGCTCACAAAATAAGGGCAGAAACTCCCAAAGAAGAAAAGAATCTGACATACAGATAAGTGAGACATACCAGACTCTATTTAGCCATGATGATGGATGGGGGAGAAAAAGAGAAAAACTACTACACCGAGGCACGTAATAGTCAAGATTCCAGGAACACAGCACAAGAAACAAATCACCTATGAAGGAAAACCCATCAGAATCACAGCAGACTTCTCAACACAAATGTTTAAGTAAAGGAGAGCTTAGAGTGAAATATTTCAAGGCCTAAAAGAAAACAACCTCCAGCCCAGATTAATGTATCCCACAGTAAAAACTACAGTACTCTGAAAAAAAGATCAAAGTGGACCTCAGAAAACTGAAAGATAGTCTTAGTTTCTGGGTAGGCAGAACCAATATCATCAAACTGGCCATGCTTCTAAACCTTGGGTCTCAGTCAAAATACAGATATTCCTTGTTTAATGACCTAACTGTTTAACAACCAAGGCATGCCATTCAGACTTTACCCTCTGCTCAGCCTTATGAGCCATGTCCAGCCATATGACAAAGGGACACGAGTGGCAGTGAGCCCTATGGTGGCTTTTGTACAGTACAATACAATAATTTTACTGTAGTACTGTAGTTTTATGTCCTGGTATACAAAATGGTAATTGAATGTAAGGTTATAGAAATCAAAGTAAAATTATCAAGTTGGAGTTTCCTTTGACTCTTTTTTTGTTCTGAATACCATAATATACATACTATATACAATTACTCATTAACAAACAATTAGTGAGCAATGACCTTGTCACAGGACCAGAATTCAGTCATTAAATAAGAAGTGTTTGAACAAATAGCATTCATCACAGAGGAAATGAATCCTAGAATTTGTATGGAACTAGAAGAGATTTAGAATAGCAAAAGCAATTCTGGGCAACAAGGGAAGGAAGGAGGCATCAAAATCTCAGACTTTAAGTTGTACTATGAAGCTACAGTGATAAAACAGCATGGTCTTGGCCAAACACAGACTTGTGTGTCAGTACAATAGAATACAGCAATGGCACAATCAGCTACCTTATCTTTACCAAAGGGCCAAATACTTTCACTCAATGAAAGACAGCCTCTTTTTTCAAGTTATGCTAGAAAATCTCACTATCCATATGCCAAAGATTGAACTAGACCAGTGAGGGAAAACCTTTTAGAGATGAGTGTCCAAATTGCAACACAAAACCCACTTATTTGTCACAAAGTGCCAATGCTGTAATTAAATCTGAACACTGAGGTTCTAGTTTAGAAAAAAACAACTCATACATTAACCTCTTTTTTCTTAAAAAAATCCAAATAACGTGTGCCATAAGTTGACCAACATTGACCAGGACCTGGCTATCTGTCACCATGCACTAAACTAAAATTAAAATTAATAAAAGATCTAAACATTAAAGCACAAACAATCCACTGGAAGACAAAATAGGTACAACACCTGAAGACCCCTGGCTGGACAAGAAATAATACCAAGAATCAACAAATAAAGTCACATGGCTCACTTCCCCAGCAGCTGTGGTGTGGCAGGCTGCAGCCACCCCAGAGGGAGAACCACCAGCATCCCCTAAGATCCACACCATGTTGGAACTTAGGACGCTGGGAAACCAAGCAACCAGCCTGTCTCCCTGCTAAGCAGTTGGCTCCAAGGCAGGGTGGCATGGTGGGACCACAGTTCACTGTGGCTCTAAACAGCAAGGTCTCCCCTTTTAAATAGTCACTTGATAGATGTAAGACCTACACCTCTCCTCACTCTTCATTGGCCTAGTATGTACTACTCCAGAGCAGACAGACCCCTGGGATGCCAGAAAAGTGTGGTTTTTTCCCCTAGAAAAACATCTATCTATTGATGAAGCAATAAACCATTTTACAACTCAAGTGATTCCTAGTTTTTTACTTTCATGAAAACTGAGGGAAGACTTAAATAAATCATCAGAGAAATAGCTCATTAAATAATTTTGATGATGTATCATCACATCAGGAGTTTGAGTAATTAGCTTTGCTATCATAAAATACATTCATTATAATTTACTCATATACAGTTTCATAGTGCTTGCAGTAATTGCAACGTAATAATTATTAAATAGGAACAGTGATTGATAAAGACCCCTATTTTGGTAAAAAGGCTGATTAAGAATTGTTTTCCAGGTAAAAGTCCACTTTTAATATAAAGATGTTTAAACATAAAGATGGTTAAGAATTATACTGTCTGTGTTGTTTTGATAAATTACATGTTAATAGTACTTATAATGATAGTTCAATCCAGAAACTCAAAATAATTCAACCCCCCAACTTAAAGACCCACTCAAAAAGTGGACTTCTGAAGTAAATAGACACTTCTCAAATGCTGGCAAGGCTGTGGAACCAATGAAAACAAAACAATGCAATAAAGGACTTCAAAACACGATAATAGTAAATCCAAAATGGCTACCACAGTAAGTCTTGCTGTCTTTGAAATAGCTGCCCATGCCATCAGGTAAAACAAAACAGAATAAAAGTCAATCAAACAAAACAATGAAAATGATACAGGACTTCAAAACAAGATAATGGAGAATGAACAATGGCTACCACCTTCAAAAGGAGATTCCCCTAGATGGCACACTGTGTCCCATTATTGTCCTCTGAGTTGATGATCAGACCACCAGCCCTAGACCGCAGAATCATTGAAACACTAGACACCACGAGCATCAAATCCCATTTCACCTCAATAGCTACGGTTGCAGCCTGTGTTTCTCTGGATCAGTTGGTCACTTACAGGCCAGGTGGCGGAGGGGTGGCTCTTCTTGTTTCCCAGCATGGCCCTGATTTTCTCGCTTCTTGGTGACTTCTTGTTCTCTTTCCCCACTGTCTGCAAATGTTACCAACTCACGGGAAAAGACTGGGGTCCAGCTGCCCTGCCTCCCTCCATGGCAGCCTTTTTTCCCAGCATCAGATTAATTTTATTTATCTTATAAATCTATATAAAGTTAATTATCATACATACAAATTTACAATCAGACTAACAAGCCAAAAATACGTAAAATACATAATTACATTAAACCAAGGTACCCTTTTAGCCACATTGTCTGTACTGTATTGTAATAACTTTTCTCTCTTTTTTCCTGTTATCTGTCTTTTATTCTGTACTTTATTTACATATTGAGTTTCTTGTAAAAGAATTAAGCTTAATGCCCAATTTAAGCTTGTGTGGCTGATTTACTTCACTTAGCATTGTGGTCTCAAGGTACATTTATTTTTCTTACAACTGACTCAAATTTATCTTTCTTTATTAAAGTGTAGTAGTCCATCATGTATAAGCACCACATTTTATTTATTAGTTCATCTATTGATGGACATATAGGCTGCTTCTAGGATTTAGCGATTATGAATTTTGTTGCTATCAGCAAGAGAACACATATCCCACAGTGGTATGCTGTCTCTAGCTCTTTTGGGAAGATAACTAGAATGGGAATAGTCGGGTCAAATGGAATTTCTACTTTAGTTTTTTTGAGGAATCTCCATAGTGAAATCCATAGGGATTATACAAATTTACACTCCCACCAACAATGAATAAGTGTTCCTTTTCCCCCCACAGCCTTGCCAGCATTTGCTATTGGTTGTTTTCTTGACAATATCCATTTTTAAATATCCATCCTTTGTGGAGGGAGATAGAATCTCAGTGTTGTTTTAATTGCATTGCTTGAATGTCCAACAGTGTCAAATATTTTTCATGTATTTATTGTCTGTAATTTTTCATCTGAGAAGTGTCTATTCACTTCAGAAGTCCACTTTTTGAGTGGGTCTTTAAGTTGGGGGGGTGTTGAATTATTTTGCACCAGTAGGCTCACTATTGCTTAGCAGTCCATACTCAGACCTAGAATTTAAATATAAAAAATCAGCAGGACATAGTGATGCATGTCTATAATCCCAGCACTCTGGGAGGCAAACACAAGAAGACTGCAAGTTCAGGCTCAGAATGCAAGAACTTGTCTCAAAATACAAAATAAAAAAGGGCTGGAGATATAGTTCAATTGAAGTCCCCTGGGTTTGATTCTGAATGCTACAAAATAAATAAATAAATATCTGTGCACTCTTAGTCTCTATGTACCCCTAAAGTGGTACCTCTAAAGTACTGTCATGGTTTATGTTGGTGGCCCCCAGGCCTCATGCATTTGCATTATGCATTTGTGATTGGTTCATTGTCTAGCATTTGAATTGGGGATGTGAGTGCTACACTGGCCGAGGGGTGGAGCCAGGATGTAGTGTAATGGCAGGAAGAAGGTGTGTCTCTTTCTTGCGGGTTTCTGCCTTGCTGTTTGCAGCCACCATGAACTACAGCCCTGCCATGCCACTTTGCCTTGGAGCCAACTGAGTATGGACTGAAACCTCCAAAAACTGTAATAAATAATCCTTTCCTTTCCCAACTTGGTGCATCAGGTATTTTGTCTCAGCAACAAATAAAAAGTGACTAAGACAGGTACACAAAGGTGCCCTCTGATCTCTGTAATCCACTGAAGATACACAAAAGTACCTGACTTTGAAGCTTCTTAAACTTAGAACTCCCCACCAGGCTGAGCTATATATGACTGGACAC